GAGTATCTGACTGTCAAACATTCTGAGGATATACGGTAACGATAGTAGGAGATTCGCCCATTACTTCCTTCCTTTCTACCTTCGTTCCTTCCTTCCTTCTCAATTCTTAGTCAATTTTCACTTCCTTCCAGCATTCTTCGATCTAAATTGTACCAATCCCTCTACGGTAACCACCCATACACTTTCTGTAATGTACTGCTAGCTAATGAACACCTTCTACCTAGCTGGCATGTTATACGAGGTAATCGTGTAATGTGCCTCTAAGGAGTAAGTACTGCAGAATGGATGTGCTCCAGGGAAGTATTGATATGACCAGTGGAAGTAGTAGCAAGGGAAGAAAGTACGCTTCGTGGGCGTTTATGCAGCAAGAGATGCGTTAGTTGCAATGCAGCGAGGCCCCAGGTTAAATATTACTAAGCTTTTGCAACTGCCCTTTCGCCCATCGCAGTTGATACTTCCTAATTCGGCTTGTGAACCGGCCCGTAAAGTTATTCGCCCATTTTCCCGAATATCTAGACTGTTTTGGAATGGATTCTATAATTTCTGCCGCCAGCGCGTGCTTCGGTGCATGCCCCACCCATGATGGGCGGTGCTGTACCATAGATGAATGCGTTTTGTGCTTCCTGGCCTATGTTTCACGAGTACCAAGCTTAGCTAGGGCTCTCCAGGTGGTTCTTTAGATTATGCCGAATTTCGTTATTTTCAGGTGATCCTTACTGATGAGTTCACTAATAAGAAGAATCGTAAAAGTCAAACTTATCGGATCGTCTATAGGAGCAATTCGAAAGCTCTCACCAAGGATGAAGTTAATGTAGTTCATAAGCAGATCACAGATCAATTATCAGAGCTTTATGGTGTTATCTTGCGGTAGCTATCAATTTTCACAGTTTCCTTCGTTTGTTCTTTTTGTGTAGATGGTGTGATGACACTCATCATGAAGATAAGTGGACATAAATTTTATGATATGTGATAGAATGTGTAAATCATTGAATTATATAATTGTTGGAAAGTAGCCTTAAACATATTTCTGAGCGTGTTTATCGAAATCCTCGAGAGGACACAGTGAACAGCCATCAACGTATCTATCTATCCCTGTAACGTGCTGAAATGCTCGAGTTGTTTCTCCTCGACAGAGGATGCGAAGCAGTCTACGTCGAAGTCTGGCCACAAAATGTATGCATGGAAGCACTCCCGCATAATGCGTGTTTTGCATGTCTCAGTCAAGCGATGTAGTTCTACTTGAAACTGAAGAACCTCTGACTATGCATAGAAATGCTTTAGTGTAAGGTGCACGCAAATTGCGGAACCCCTGTCATTAAAGTCGAATCTGAGAGAAAAGTGGCGAATTTAAAGTTCTGATTGAGAACAACAATTCATTGCTAACTACTAAGGCACATTAATAATTAACCGTTTACATTCGAATCTTTCTCAACCAGTTTCGATGCAGAGCGTTGAGTCCCTTATCAGGAAGGTCTTTCAGATCGCGCCCGCTTTTTGAAAATGTTTGCCGAATGTAGGGGCACATGCATGGAACGCAGAACCATGGTTTATTCTCCCTGAGCGGCCCTCTTGTAACTTCGTATAA